CAGCCTGCAAGTGAAATGACTCTTGACAGTGAAATATAATTAGCACTCCTATAGACATTTGAAAGGATGGAATAGAGGAGGGTGAACCACCAGTGGTTTCTGTGGGAAATAACTTAAAACATCTCAAATTTGCTAATAATGGTCTAGTGAATCATCTATCATGTGAATCATGCCGATGTGTCATTTTTGGTCGACATGTTTAGATGAATGAATTCTTGAAGATGATGTATGAACAGCAGAATGCCACAGAGACATGTATCTCCATTTTTAGAAAAACTGTCGCTTCTAAACTAATTTCAAGCAAAGTCAAGAGGGGCTTAGGAAGCCTGCCTCAAAAAGAAAACCTTAAGGAACAGTTTTTTCTTAAGTACGCCTGATCCTAGCAATGACTCCTTACATAATACATGTAACGCTGCATTAGGTTATATATACGGTTGCTTTGTATTGCATTGTAGCACTTTTTTTAAAAAAGAAAGGGTGCAAAAATATACTGGAAAAGTATTAAAAATGAGGAAATAAAGATCTGTTTATGTATTTCACTAGCAGATTTGCCCTGGGTAACTTGCATAGTTAAAGAACTTGCTCCTGTGAAAAGGCAACGGCTTGCAGAAAGAAGGCAAGTGAAACCTGAAAAAAGCTTTGTTGTTGTTGTTTAGTCGTTTAGTCATGACCCCATGGACCAGAGCACGCCAGGCCCTCCTATCTTCCACTGCCTCCCGGAGTTGGGTCAAATTCATCTTGGTTGCTTCGATGACACTGTCCAACCATCTCGTCCTCTGTCGTCCCCTTCTCTTCCTGCCTTCTCACTTTCCTAACATCAACCAAAAAGCTTTGGTTGCCCTGAATCCAAAGAGAGGTAAAAGAGAGAAACAACCCCACAAAGGGAGTCCTTCCTCCTCTTTGCCAAATAAGCCTTAAGGGCAAAGGGTAAGGTTAAAACAAACCAACAAAAACAAACCAACAGTCCTGGGACTGTTGTCCAGCTCTGCCTGTAGATACCTTGCTTTGATCTGGCCATTTCTCCTTACCAAAGTAAAGTAAACATTCCTTCCTTCAGAAGGATTAAGATAAGCCTGACCACAAAAGCATTTCTAGATCAGAGTCTTATGCCAGCCGGAGCCTGTATATTAGATATCACAGAGTTTAACTGCGTTCTCTGGATTCATTTTGGACAGGCATGAGAAATACATATTCCAGGACCACTCGTACATTTCTGAAAGACTTAAGGCAGCATTAGGGTTTTGTCATTAACTAATGTCAGCTGTAGAAAATATGCATATTTTGGACAGTAAAAATTTAATCTGTATCATAGTTACACTACAAGTGGGAGCATAAGGCCCAAATGGAAGACTTTTTCATATTTATTTCCAATCAAAATATTTTAAATACTGTAATAGGTATTTTGCGGTTTTCTCATTCTTACTGTTTTCTACTAGAATTTTAAGAAAATTAACAGAATATATGGGTTCATCATTGTCTTTGTATCCATGTTTTTATATGTGGGACTACAACATCATGCAGTGTTGGCTGAGGAGGAGAATCACTGTTTCTAACATAATTGTTTGTGCGCATAGGACACTTAAAGACATAAAGGGCCCAACATCTAACCCAAGTACGCTAAAGCAGCACAAACAGCATAATTTTGGAGGTGAATTCCCATAAGTTAAGAAATCATCATCATCATCATCATCTTAGAACTGCACAGCTGGAAGGAACCCTTTGGATCATCCAATCCTGCTCCTGTCAAAGAGGCACAAGTGGGGAATTGAACTCTCAGCCTTTGGTTCCACATCCAGATGCCTAAACCACGGAGCTATCCAGCAGTTCTTTATGCAGACATTATCAACTGTATACCGAGTTGTATTGACTCCGTCCGCAATTGTTAATGTCTACAGTGATTTCATCACTTGGGCCACTTTTGGTCCAAAAGTTACTCCATTTCCATAGCCATGCAAGGGGATTTTGGCCAGTATCTCTCAGTTAAATCCCATGGATATCAGTAGAGAGAGGGGCTGGGATTGTAGCTAAATGGTAGAGCACATTCTTTGCATACAGAAAATACCAGGTTCAATTCCTGGCATCTCCAGATAGGGCTGGAAAGACTTTAGCCTGAAACTATGGAAAATGGCTGTCTACCAGCATCAGCAATGACACTTAAACAGATGAACCAGGGGCCTGGCTTGCTACACTGAAACCAACCTCCCAATGTGCCAAGCTAGGACTCCCATTTGCCCCTGCCGTCATAACCTCTGGCTTATTTGGGAATAAAGTGGGTAGAAATACAACACCTTTTTGAAATAATTGATTTGCTGGTTTTTCATTATGTCAGACAGCACATGACAGCAACAAGTACGATACAATTATGTAACAAGGTTAGGGCATCAGCTTACAGAAGGACCGATTAAATGCACAAAATCCATTGATATGTTTGTTTTTAATACTGTGACTTTTATCTTTTGTCATGATTTTGATATTTGTGTTTTTAAATCATTTGCAAGTCCTTATCGAAGGAGAAAGACAGAGTAGGAAAAAATTCATGAGCTTTAACATGCCTGACTCTGCTTAATATTGCATGGTTAACTTTTCATCTGCCCTCAGTGGGATTTAAAAGCATTTCCTGCAGCCGTGTGCAGGTAGATATATATATCTTCCTGGATCTAAAAATGCAGTCAAGTGGTGACAGATACTTGGAGTGAGGGGGATGCTTCTGTAGAAGCTGGTTAGCATAGTCCAGCTTGCGCTTGTTGGAACTTAGGTGGGTCTGAAAAGCAGGCTGGCTGAACAGGCTTTTCAACTGGAACATTGCAGGTAATTTTACTGCTAGGGGAGGAAAAGGTCAAAGCCATCAGGATTCTTTGGCAGCTCAGCAGTGATGTAATGGGCACACTGTTGCTGTGTTCAAAGCCGAAGAGCACAGCCACAGAGAAGTTCAATCAAAGTAAGTGGACCTATGGGAACAGAGACAAATGGAGGGGACCAATAATATTCTATTAGACCACTACTAATAAACCAATTCTCATTGATTAAGCAGTATGTTTTAAGGAAGATGAATATAGCCCTAACAATTAGAACTGGTCTTAAATCAGCATACAAGGATCAGTCCTCATGTATTATAGAGTCATTTCCAGAATAGCAATATCTTCAGCTTTAAAAAAAAAGCAAGGAGTAAGGACATGATTTGCCTCCTTGGCTTTGCAGTTCCGTGCAATACAGAGTTTGCTGTCATCATGAGCCATGCTTTGCATTGTGTGAGCTGAACTGAATGTATACATGCGGCTGATGTTGAACCAATGGAGACAAGTATAACCCTTGTGTCCCATAAACTTAAATTATGAAATCAAATTTTCTTCCTGTTTAAAGTTCTGCAGTTACTGATTTGAGATCTTTGGGCAAATAAATCTGCTTTACAGATACATTTTTTCAAAGGATCAACTTAGTTCTGAGTGCAAAGATGTAACCTTTTCTCTTCTATTATATTCTACAGACCAGGAAATCTGAAAGACTGTGATAAACAATAAATTAATTAGCCCTTCCCAGGCTTTTTGAATTGGAAGTTGAGAATGATCTCTGCCGGTAGTAGTAGTAGTAGTATGATTAGTATTATTAATATTATTATTACAAATAGCTTGGGTAGTGATATAGGTTATAAACAGCAATTATTACTAATTGCCCAACATTTGTTCACTTGAACACATACTGTACTTCTGTTTGCTTTTTTTTTTTTTTTTTTTTTTTTGTTTCCCTTTATTTTAGCTCAAAGTAGTAGTAGTATTATTATTACAAATAGCTTGGGTAGTGATATAGGTTATAAACAGCAATTATTATTAATTGCCCAACATTTGTTCACTTGAACACATACTGTACTTCTTCTTTTTTTTTTTTTGCTCAGCTGTGTTCCCATTAATCTGAGCTCAAGACTACATACAATGCCCTAGTTGTCTCCAACTTTATTTGTAGTTAAAGTAATCAATTGACTTTCACACAGTTGTGTAAGGTCTGGAGCATCCACTGTGCTTTTTTGGGGGCTTATATATGACCCAAGAGTGGAATTCTGCATTGTGTACTTCAAACATTTCTAGTAACATTTACGATTCCATAGAAGTCCACAGGTAATTCGCATTGGTGGAAAGCCATTATTCGGGCTCAGCAGTAATATTCTTCACCTTGCCAGGGTTCCACTGGTACAAACAAGAGACTTGTGTTAGAACTCAAGATGGGCATTATGGATCTGTTGGCATCCCTTCTAGCTTTTTAATTCCAGAAGCTGGGAATTCAGCCTGTCTTACACATCACAGCTAGTTTTCATTAGTTAAATACCTTGTTTTACTATTTCAACACTGTATATTTTGAATTATTTATCTGTTAATCTTTTTTTGTTTGTAGGACCTCTTGGGATGTCTTATAACCAGTGCAGTAGAGATAAAGGAAATAAGGGAAGGAAGGAAGTACTGTACTGGGTTCTCTCTAAAGCTCATGTAGTGCTGATCTTCGGAGAAAAGAGAAACAGAATAACTCTCCTTCCCAGCCTCAGGCTCCCCATCCAGAGACCCAAGCCACTGAACTATCCAGCAGTTCTTTCTTTCAGGTTTCTCCAATCTATTCCAAATTTCACCAGAGGTTTCCCATCCATTCATTGCTTTTGTGTTCTGCAGTGGCCACAAAGGATGACAAGCAAACATTAAGCAGTAGTTCCCAGAGGCTGTTCCCATAGCAACTAGAGGCCTGCTTACAAATAACCCCTATCCCAAGAGCATTTTGAGGTAGCTGTAAGTTCCAGTCTCAGACCACATTTCCTCCCCATTGGTAACCACAATACACTACATTCTGTTTATGTGACAGTTGTCTTCCATTTCCACCTTGCTTTAAGTTCAATAATACTTTTAACCTCCTAAAATAATCGAAATAAGATCTTACTTCCAAATCCAACAATGGTTTCTCTCCAAAATCTGCATACACACTGCAGAACATCGCAATGATAAAATGCTTGCAGAAACACATACCTGTTCAGATAAACTCGTTTTTCTGTCAGTTGACCATTCCCGTAATTGGGATCTTCATACGGTTCATTATGCACCACTTCTACACCTTCTCCGCGGTCACTCTGCTCGTGACTATGCTTACTGATCATGTACAACTGTCCAATTCTGTACTGCAATGCAAAAGAGAAGCAAAGGAGTCATAAAAAAAATCAAATAAAGCAATTGTCATGATAGCAATCAGCATGATTGAAAGTAATTGATAAAAAAGAAACTACTAACTGCTTTGCAATTAATGAATGTGATTTGCAATTTTGGATACACTCTTTTACCTAGAGCTTGTGACAACCTTTTATAACCACCTATACAGGGACGTGGGGGCACTGTGGGTTAAATTGCAGAAGCCTCTATGCTGCAAGGTCAGAAGACCAGCAGTCGTAAGTTCGAATCCACGTGATGGAGTGAGCTCCCGTCGCTTGTCCCAGCTCCCACCAACCTAGTGGTTCGAAAGCATGCAAATGCGAGTAGATAAATAGGGACCCCCTTGGTGGGAAGGTAACAGCATTCCGTGTCTAAGTCGCACTGGCCATGTGACCACGGAAGATTGGCTTTGGACAAACGCTGGCTCTATGGCTTGGAAACGGGGATGAGCACCGCCCCCTAGAGGCGAACACGACTGGACAAAAATTGTCAAGGGGAACCTTTACCTTTACCTTTTATACAGAGGTACAGTATTATACGTCTGGTTAAGATATAGTATTTGTAGATTGCTCAACTCAGCATGGCTCCAGACTCATGATGGGAGTAACAGCTGATCTACCACAACTACAGATGCAAGTTACTTGACAGTAATTTACGGTACTGCAGTGGCACCAGATGAATGCAGATGGATTAGGGATGCATCCAGCTGCATCTACGGATGTGCCAGATTTGACATTTCTTTTCAACTGCAGCTGCAGCTCCTTTGACTCCTCTCCACGGAGCAGTTTAAAGTATGGGAACCAGCCAGCAAAAGTGCTAAATAGTTCTTGATTATAGAAGAACCTTTAAGTGCTAAAGGTCTCTACCCCACAGGCTGGTGCTGCAACCTATGTGAAATACTGTTCTTCTGAAAACAATGAAATACTTCAGGTAAGATGAAGCTCATCTTCAAAAGACCTTGAAGAGGCCTACAAATGTCTCTGCCAATAATGGTCTAAGTTCCCAAAGGATTAACAATGAGTACTATTCAGCAGAGGCACTCACTGAATTATTTTTAAAAAGGTGCAAGCCCCAGCTCAATTTAAAGGAGGGCATGGTTGTAAACTGTCTGCGTAAATCGTAGATAAATATAGTAATGCTTTATTTAATTACTTTCAGAATAGACTTGGATTTCCATTTAACTGAGTTAAATACATCTCTACTGGAGTTTTCTTAGTCTGTAACAACAAGTATGATAACTGAAATTAACATAAAGTAGATATTTGCATAAAGTGAATTCATTCCACTCCATTATTCTCTTCCTGTAGACTGAGAACAATTTAAAACAATTGTAACTGCCAAGCCTCTCCATATTTACCATGCATATTTCAATGTACAAAAAGCTGTGGAGAAAAAAAACCTTAATAGGGAAACACAGCAGATCATAAAAAGTTACACATCAAGTTTTTATCCACTTAAATGTTTAGACATTCATTTTTGAAAGCACTGTGTCAATTCATAACTAAAATAGTACCATCAGAAAATAATGATGATGATGACGATAACAGCCAATGTTTTTATAATTTTGATTGAGTGTGTCTGGTATTTTTGAATCATCATCATCACCTTAGAATCGCAGAGCTGGAAGGGACTCTCTGGACCATCAATTTCAGTCCTTGTCAAGGAGGCCCAGTGGGGAACTGAACTCCCAGTCCAAGCCTAGACCATTGACCTATCTAGCAGTTCATGGATCTTGTGCCCTGGAACGCTATGTAAAAAACTGGTGCTTTTTCTGTGGTTTTGACTTTCAGAACTAACTAGTGTACTATTATTTTGAAAGGCTGTCTACCAAGAACACAGAGTGTTTTGTTATTATTTTGTTCCCTATAGGAGCTTTGTTATAGCTGAATACTTAAGAGCCTATAGATCCTTTCACCTGCAGAGATGTTTCCCTTCCAACACACGAACTTGCGCAATAGCAGATTGATCCTGATACCCAGCCTCACCTCTGCAAAGCCAAGGACAATTTCGCCCTTGATCACTATAAAGATAGTGCTTGCAGGGTATGAAAAACAGCCAGCGTAGCATTCTTTCTAAGACTGGGAAAGTGAAGACAGGCAGGAAGATTATGGCCTTGCAGTTCTGACAAAACCTTAAATAGAGGGTCCCCAAACACAAGCTTCTGTAGCTGTTAACACTGGAGGTGAAAATGTTCAGCAGAGGAGGGAGCCACGCCAATGTGAACAGCATGTACGTGCTCTCCGACTGCATCTAAAAGGTTTAAAGAACAGGCTTGGATTTCAGCTCACTGTCAGAAAAAGAGAGCAGTGGTATTTTGTTTTTAAAAGGAGAGGTTGAAAAATGACATAAATACCAGGGGTGATCCAGCCAGACTCAGATTGCTGCAACTGTATGGAAACATACCCACCAGGAGTAACAGGAGAAGCTGTGAGGTTGTTATCAGTGCTCCAACCCACCAAGCTCCATCCAAGCTCTGTGAAGCTTTCTATAGTAGCTTCCTTCCAAGACTGGAACTTGGAATGGTTATGATGGCACCATGATGGATCCTCGGGGCAGCCTCTCAGCGCCTGAGCACTACCTACCAAATGAAGGTAAACTCAACCTCCTTGTTGAACTTGGGAGAGTTCCTGTAGCCCCCAAGGAGGAGAACTGAACATGTTTTCCACTGATGCTTCCTTGAAGCCAGCAAAGATGAGCAGGGCTTTGAATAATACGGGGCCTCCAAGTCAGAACACGTCGTTTTCTAGGTTCTTTATTACCCTGATGATCACGTTGCTAAGCACTTCTACATCATACGCTTTTTAATGTGATGTATGCTACCATTTAATTATTACGTATTCAATTTACTGAGGAGAAGGGCAAAGTAGAAATATTTTTAATAAATGAAGAATAAACAATAAATAATTAGTACTTGTAATATGTGGTCCCTTGCGCTTGTTCCCTGTACTTGGCAGCAGCCGATTTCGATGTGGCGTAGCATTGCCTCCATCCTGGGCAACAGGTCCCTGCCTGAGGTGGTCAACAATGCTCCAACCCGCCAAGCTCTGCAGAAACTGCAGACGTTTCTGAGGTAATTTCCTTCCAAGGCTAAAACACGGAAAGACTGTGCCTGCTCTTGTAAAGTGTGTCCCTGCTCAACTAGTCAACACAAAATAACATACTGTAGAACCACCGCTGCTGATTCGTTTCAGCAGTCAGTTAAAGGTGACCCTTTGCGTGAGAGCTTACACAAGATTTTTAATTTTTTTTTCATTGAACTGAAAAACTCTTTAGCAGGGAATGTAATAAATCAGCAATCGAGGAAGAAGAATGTTCAGTATTCCAGCATGATTCTCTGTATGACACAAATCACAGATTCATGTAGAATCATAACAGACCCAGTTCAGCTTTTATAAGGCTGGACACATATGTTGTATTGTATCCTAGGTATGATTTTATAATACATGAAACCTATAAATAAAACATAAAAGACAGTAAAATAAGTGAGTCCAGGCCCTGTCTCACTGGGGGATACAAAAGCCGCACTGGTGTCAGGAACACAAACATGCTTTTTTTTGTTCACTATCAATACCTCTGGTCAAACCCGTCTGATGGGATTTTGGCACCCTTCACATTTTATCTGATCATTGAAAAGAACAGAGAGTTGAAGATACTTTATCATAGAGGCATCACTGCCTGTGCTGTGCACACTCATCTTGCTTTTATCTCTTTTCGTGTATTTTGCAGGTTTATGTTGCAAAAGAATCGATTGAAAATCGTTTGAGACTTGAACACACACACACACACGCACACACACACACACACACAATATTCCAAATAGACCTGATAAGTTTTGAGTTGGATGGAAGAGGTAATGTAACTTCTGCTAGAGCAATCTGAAGTACTTCTGAACATCTCTGTTATAAGGAGGGGATACTATGAGGTTTGAGATGTTCCAAAAGGTGGGGGGGGTAGAAGAGCTATTCCACTATTATAGTCCAGCCTTCTGAGTCTTAGGATTTCAGTGGCTTTTCCGCTTTGTAAGGCTGTGGGATCTGTTAAAACAATCCATGCCCTGGAAGTCGATAGATTCTGAAAGATTTCTGAAGGTTCCGGGATTTTTTTCTCTCCAGCGACTATGGCTATGGATTATTGCTCTGAGGCATGCCAGATATCTTATGAGACTCCATTTTATTTCTAATGCTTTGTAACATCGACATGAACCAACCAGGAGATGTGTATTGAGGTGTTACCAATATGCAGATGATATCTAGCTCTACCTCTCTTTTTAATCATAGAGGCAGTTGGTACATTGAACCTGTGGTCAAACATGGACTGGATGAAGGCCAACAAATGGAGACTCAATCCAGACTAGATGGAAATATTGTGAGTGATTTCTCTAGCCAGTTAAGAAGCAGTCAGTATATCCTGGAGAGGGCTGTACTCTTGTGAAAAGATCAGGCTCAATGTTTTAAGGTGTTCTTAGACCCAGCATTTCCATTAGAGCTACAGGCAGTCTCAGTGGCTCATCAGAGCTTTTTAGCAGCTGACCCATCATCGGTAGAGATACTCTTGCGGCTGTTGTCCATGTGTAGCTAACCTTTCTTTGGTATTACTGCAATAAGGGGGAGCCTCTGAAAACATTCCAGAAACCTCAGCTAGTCTTAAACTGGGCAACCAGAGGACTAACTTGGATGGGGTCATATGATAATATTAATAACAGGCTGTCAAGTTGATTCTGTCTTATGACAATGTTTTCCAGGGTTTTCTAGGTAGGGAATACACAGAAGTGGTTTACCATTCCCTTTTTCTAAGGGTGCCCTGGGATTGTGCACCTTGCCCATGGCTGCACAGGCTAGTTAGTTCTCCCAAGAGGCACAGTGGGGAATTGAACTGCCATCCTTTGGCTTCACCACTGTCAGATACCTAAAGCACTGAGCTATCCGGCTACCTATGATCATATTACATTAAGCATTTTGTCATCTGCACTGGT